ATAACTTTATTACAGAGCTTTGGAGCAACAAACCAGGACAAGCACACCCACTTTTGAGGAGTCCACTTGATACAACCTCTGGTGTTCAATAGCTTTCCTCCCTCCCCACTCTCTGGCTAGAAATCTGAGGTAGCCAGAAGGATCCCATGGGCAATATGGGGAGTGGGTTAACCTTCCATGTCCTTGCTTCCAAAGACTGTTGGTATGCAAATTTTAACAACATTTTTTTTTTTTCAATTAAAAATATCTGGCCAATGAAGTTTCTTTTTCTTACTTAAGCAAATGTATTAGACTTTAGTATATCACATTTTCCTGATTTATCCAAACACTTTGTATTCCAAGTTGAATAAAACAAGTATCTGCTTTTTGATTTAACCCTTCTATTTAATTTTGAACTAGACTGTCTTATGAAAATATTAAACCCAACAATTCTGGCCACAAGACAAACACCACAAGACAGGACATAGAACACACAAATAATTCCTATTGTACCAGTAAATGCATGGTACATTGAATGCTGTTCAGCTGGCATCCGTTTTCTCTGATGATCTGAAAGACAAAAGAACAGAGGTCTACCCCTTCTGGATAGTCAGTCATTGCTTAAAATATTTCCTTTATATACACATACTCTTGTTGATTTTAGACAAAACAGAGGAATTACCCCATATTTCCTTGTATTTGTTTCATAGGCAGCCCAGGTTTCAGTGGCTTCTACCATATTAGTTAGAAAATTGCATTAATACAGATGCTTTCTGGCTTGCTTCCAGATCCAAAGCTATCCACAGCTTAAAAATTCTTACGTAAAAAGGGACACAATTGACTTTCCCAGACTTTTGATTGCCTTTTACTTCTGACTCCTGCTTTCAAACACCCAGTGATGTGAAAGAGACAACACAACCTATATTGGTAGGTTTGCATTTCTTTTACCTCTGCTACAATATACACTGCACATGTTCTGGGGAAAATGCACATCCTCTTCACAATTTAATTTTTACAACACTAGCCACATCAATTTCTACACAAGATGTAACTATTTCTTTTGTGCTTACAAAATCTCCATGCACCCCTAGTAAAGTGACAGCTCGACCACACAGAGCCAGAGGCACTGTCCTTCTCTCTCTTTTTACCAGATCTTTTATCTATTTTGTTACCCAAAAACAAATTCAAATCTTTTATTCTCCTGGCTTTGACTACCCTGCTGCAGCCACAACCTTTTTTGAACACCGGGAAAAGGCCATTTACTTAACATATAATCCAAAGGGCTATCCTTAGAGGGTTTTACCAGAGACCCACCTATCTGCCTGCTGACACTCTAACAGAGAATTACACAGAGAACAGAGGGAATTATGGCCTAATAGGATCCTATTACAGGAATTTCTACTAATACTGACTGCTACAGGGGACAGGACAGAAGGATCCCAATTCGACCTCAGAGCTTCATCGCACGCGATGGCTGCCACTCTGAGGAATTACGAATGAGAGGCTCAGTTCCGTCCACACACCTAACGCCCAAGTGTATAAGACAGAAATTCATTAACCGGAGTCGCCAGTAACTGTCACCGAAATATCGGGTCCACCTAGCTGAGAGCCAATAACAGCCAGACAGGGATAAGGAAGAGTTGCTTTATTCTGCAGAAGAAAGGAGAGCCTTGCACCTTGGTACAAAGACTCTGTCTTACACACATTTTACCATTCCAATTATTATCCTGGGGATTTGAAATCCCCATGCTTATAATTACTTACTCCTTTCCTTCCACTATGCCCTCAAAGTTTCCAACCTGTTCTCCAATCTCTCTATCTGTTGCCTGCCCGCTTGGGCCCGATCCTGCTTTTCTCGCTGAACCGTCCCTTCCATGGGCACCGGCTTTTTCACTACCAATTTAGCTAGGAGGGTGGGCTTCTCAACTAGCCCCCACCCTTCCTGGTCTCTTCTCTTAAACATTCTTACTCACAAGGCTACCCAAGTCCTCCCTCATGAGGCTTGCCACTTGGGCAAAACGCATGGCCCATTGGCGTTTAACTATTCAGTTTTCTCTTGTGGCAAACACACTGCTGTTACAGCATATGCAAACACAAATGGTTAAATTCTGACAAGTCCCTGAAGGACTGGTACTTGCTTAGCCAGTGCTTCCTTTTCTGCCTGGAAGTCCTGTCTCAAGGCTTGCAACTTGCTCTGGGCGTAGGTTTGAGTTGCTGCCTGGTTCATGATCTATGCTCTTAATTGCTCAATTCTAGTTATCAAGGACACAACTCTTCCCTTTTCTCCAACTTCTCTATTGCCCAGTCCTGCTACGACTGGGGTAGATCCACCTGACACCCTTCCCGGTCAACCGGGGTGGAGAGAGGAATGCTAAATCCCTCTCCGGTTCTCAGACTTACTGCGAGTGAGAGTAGGGGCACTTTCATACTCACACACGTACGTCCAGACTGGCCACGTCTGTGTATAACGTTCAGAGAAGGTGCTGTGCAATCTCCAACTTGCTTCCTCTCTTGGGAGGGCAGTTCTTTTACACCCTGAGGTCTCCTGGGGCGTCTTTTCAGTGATTCCAGTCCAGGCCGGCTGCCTGTGGCTTCTTCAGCGTCCCCAAACCACGCCGGCTCCAGGGTCGCAAAGGCAGACTGTTGGATCTCACTGGACAATTAAGCTTTGCAAATGTAATCTCAGCACTGTAACTTGTATTGCCTTTGGTTTGACTATATCTATATTTTTTTCACAGCCAGCTGGGGCCGAAAGCAGTTTTTCTTTGTACTTAGCCTGGTCTGCATTGATTCTTGACCTTGAACGCAGATTAACTTTCTCTTTATCTCTGGACCAAGCTGAATTTCAAATTAACCCGTTCCTTTCCTCAATATACAAATTGCTCCCATTGTGTGTCAGAGGCTTTTTGGTGATTAAAAGCTCCTCTGAGATGTATGATCTTATCTAGATTGAAGGTACCTTCTAGTGGGCATTGTTTAGATGAATTTTCACGCGTGTAATGATTCCAATTTTCTAAAAACCTGCAGGTTTTAGGACCATAATGTACGTACATGAAATAAGCTGGGGTACCCTTAGGGGGTGAGAGGGAATCCTTAGACTGTCCCCCACCCGTTTTCCAATCACACACACAGGGAGGGTGCCCTGTCCGCTCTAGCGGCACATAAACTAAGGATCTCTCCCTACAGGGTACTCACACAGGAGAGGCTAACGAGGATGGCCACGACCCTCCTACACCTCCCTTCAGCAAAGAGCGTCGGCTAGTCTCAGAGAGACGGCGCTGCTTACTCTCGTTGCATCCAGTGAGATGATCAGACTGTCAGTGGATCACACAGAGAGGAAAAGGGGAGGGAAGATGGGTTCACACACTCCTAGACCCAGGTAGCCTCCTCGCCGGACGATGCCAGGCCGAGTTAGCCCACCGTGGGTCGGATCTCCTAAAAGATCCTCTAGTTACCGGGCTTGCGTTAGAGTAGTTCTGGTCACGAGCCAAAAGACTTCGCAGAGTACTCTGGGCGTCTTCCGGTAACTCTCAGTTCACACTGGTGTACACACACACACATACCAAGGCCTCTATTTCCAGGTACTATTCCCAAGTACCACGATGCATCTACACTATGAGGCGGTAACAACCCCTCAGCACCAGTGCATACCCATGCATCTCTCATATGCATATATGGGGGCGGCCAAACTAACAGGTCCCCAGAACCGCATACAACTACCTTATTGGGGGCGGCAAAACAATTCCCCAGAACCGCTCTGCATCTGACCTTGCTGCACAGTCAATAAGTTCGGATGGCGTGAGCCCAACAGGGACAGACGGCCCCATGGACAGTCCTCCTCTGACACCCCAATAGAGATTTCAGAAGGTCTCCTACCTCTATTGTGGTGCCATGGGGTTCAAAGGGGAACGATCCGTAGCAGCTGCCAGTACCTCTGCGGGCGTTGCCATCCCGGACGAGCCCCCAAATTGTCGGAGAATAACAGAGTTCTCACTTTTTGTTTGGGTACAGCAAGTCAGATACTTTATTTTCTCTAACAATTGCTTAGAGGGAGAGAGCTAAACAGGTCTCTCTACAGGTAAACAATTACAGCAAACCTTTATCTTTCATTACAGACAATAATAAGCAACAGCTGCATTTTGTTTATACATAGGCCATCTTGATATCTTATTTTTCTCACTTGTTTTGACTCTAGTCTACATACAATATTTTCTACACATTATCTACACAAGGTCGCAACAACTTCTCACACAGTTCTTTCCCACTCGCCTCACACAATCCTCGCTTCTACAAATCTCGCTTTATTAGGGTTACAGTTAGCCTGACTCTTGCTAACGAACTGTCATGCATTGCATCCCCTTCCTGTCAGTTCTTTCTCTGCTTCCACAGGGGTAAATGGCAAGATTATGCCATTTTTCAAAACATGATTCACATAATGGGGATCATACATTGTCTAAATTGTGTCCAAGCAATTTTACCTTTACAAGATAGCTGTAAACGCCTCCAATATAAATTTGTTCTAACAGTTTCAGCCTATATGATCTCTTTTCTACCTGTCTAATAAGCTGTTGACAATTTAAAAGCAAGTATGTTAAACTAATATTCAGTGTTAAGCATGTAAATTAAACCTTTAATATTAGAGCCTTAAAGCATGAAAAATTATGATTACATCTGTTTATTTACTTAGCATACTATAACTGCAACCGGTACAGGAAAACAATTTGTGCATTGAGTTTTTTTTATTTAATTCAAAATCAGGTTTTGGTCCTCTTAGTTCAGTCTTCAGAGAAACTTACATTTCGCTCATTCCTATATTTTTAGGATAAAGTGTTAAGCTTTAAAATGTTTGATTTAGATGGACAGTAACATTGGTTTGTAATTAAAATGGTTTCCAATTGAAAATTAGTCTTACCAAGATGATTTACAACTAATGATTATGTTCATTTCTGGAAATTAAGAAAATGCATATTACATCCTCGATGCTATAAAAGTTAAAATAAACTTTAAATTATTTTTTTAAGCTATGATGAACTGCATACCAGTAAAAGCCTTCTAGACAATTTGAAAGACAAGGTAGTAATTGAATACCCAACATTACTTGTGGTATTGAAGAAACTCAAGAATGATATGGGAGTTCTTGGCCAAGGTAAGCATAAATTTATTTCCTGTTATGCTACACTTAAATATTTTAGCTGAATAAACAATAATTAAGGATACATCCTTTTATTAGTCTCAGGAATGTACAGTATGTTTTGTATTTGCCTCTAAATTTAAAATATTGCCAGAAAAAATCTATTCTTCTTCGAGTGCTTGTTCACGTCCATTCCACATTAGGTGTGCGCGCGCCGCGTGCACGAATCGTCGGAACTTTTTCCCTCAGCGGCTCCCGTCGGGCCCGCAGGGTCCCCTTCCCGCCAGAGCGGCGCCCCGCCCTCGCGTATATATATCCCTGCAGGCCCGACCCTCCCTCAGTTCCTTCTTACCGCCCGTGGCGACGTTGGAACAACTCTGTCTCTCGCCTGAGAGTGTCCCTTAGCATAGCCATTAGCAGTAGTTAGCAGTTCATAATTACAGTTAAGAGTTTTAGTGTTAAGTAGTTGTTTAGTTCTTCTAAGGACCAAAATCACTTGGTGATAGGGGTTTGGTCAACCCCGGCACCGGCCCTGGGCGGCGGGGCATGCCGCACGCCCAAGGCTTTAAGGCGTGTGCCGCGTGCCGCAGGCCTATGCCAGTGAGCGACCCGCACGAGTCGTGTCTCCGTTGCCTCGGGGAAGCTCACCAAAAGGAGCGCTGTAAAATTTGTAAGGCCTTCAAGCCCAGAACCAAGAAAGAGAGGGAATTTCGCCTTAGACAGCTCCTCATGGAGGCGGCATTACAGCCCTCCTCTTCCGCGGCACCGTCCGCTTCGGTGCGGAGCGCCCCGGCATCGGTCCGCGACCCGACACCGGCGGCGCAGACTAAGCCCGCGGCACCGCCAAGGCGGGAACATGCCCGGCACCGATCTTCTTCGCCGGCCAAGGCAAAGGGCCAGCCTAAGACCCGGGGACGCTCCCCTCATAAGAAGGCGGCACCGGCGAAGCCCGCAAGTGCGGCCAAGGCCGTAACGGCCCCGGTACAGATCCCGGCACCAGTGGCTCCGGCGCCGAAGGGCCCGTCGAGCCCCGGGACGAGCGCGTCGAGTGCGGAGGATGGGCTGGAGGAACTGTTGGAGCAGCCCTCCACCCCGGACACATTTGAGGCGGCAAAGGACCTCATCGAATTGTCCTCCGAAAGCACACTCCGCGCTGCAGACATTCCGCCGCGGCTGCCATCCAAGGGCAAACCGGCGATGATGCGCCCGTCGCGGTCGCCATCTCGGCACCGTTCACGGCGCCGGTCCCGGTCGAGCTCCGCCTCGGTGGACTCCCGGCTTCCCGCCGCACAACGGGCCGCGAAACAGTCAGGGCCCGATGCGAGCGTGGCACCGCCTCAGCAACCCGGCTCGAGCAGGCGCCGGGACGCTTCGATGGCGAGACTTCCAAGACCACCCTCCCGCAGCCGCTCCCGGTCCCGCGGTCAACGGTACCGTTCCCGGTCCAGATCGGCACGCCGGTACTCACGGTCCCGGTCCAGACGGCACCGCTCCCCGACACCGGACCGGCACCGCCCCACGGCACCGCCATGGCCCTCTAGGTCACCGTCCCTAGCGTCGGAAGAGGACTCGGGCCTTTCCAGATATGGCCGCAGAGGGCATGCCGCTAGAGAACACGAGGCCTCTTGGCAACCACATTGGAACCATCCTGGGCAGTGGCCATTCTGGACACCGTGGGCCTATCATCAGCAAGGCCCTCCATCCAGGACTTCGAGGTCGGGTCCCTCAGGAGACCGGTCCCGCTCCCCACGGTGCCGCCCTACCTCCCGTGCGGAGGCCACGGTCTCCAGACCACCGGATGCAGAGAGGGCGGACTCGGCACCGAGCTCGGCACCGTCCCTGACTCGGGACAGGGGGCGCACCCCGGAGGGACGCCCCACCGAGGAGGAGATACAGGAGGACGAGGAAGCTCAGAAAGCCATGACCTCCTCCTCCTCCCCGGACGAGGCCGTGGCGGGCACAACAGTATCCGGCCCTCCCCCTATTGACCACCGGGCTCACCAGGACTTGCTCCGCCGGGTGGCCCTTAATTTGGGTCTACAAGCAGAGGAGACGGTTGAGCAGGAGGATCCGATGGTGGACATTCTGAGCCCAGAGGGTCCCTCCAGGATCGCGCTCCCGCTTATAAAAACGGTCCAGGCGAACTATAAGACCGTATGGCAAACGCCAGCCTCCTCCGCGCCAACCGCAAAAGGCGTAGAACGGAAGTACTTCGCCCCGTCCAAAGGGTTCGACTTTCTCTTCTCCCACCCGGCCCCATGTTCGCTGGTCGTCTCGGCGGTTAACGAACGGGAAAGACATGGCCAACAGGCCCCGGCACCCAAGGCCAAGGAGGCAAAACGACTAGACCTTTTTGGCAGGAAGGTCTATTCGTCCGGGGGCCTCCAGTTGAGGATAGCTAATCAGCAAGCGATCCTAAATAGACATAACTTTAACTCATGGGCTTCGGTGTCCAAGTTTAAAGACGCCTTGCCTCAGGGTTCACAACCTGAGTTCGCGGCGCTAGTGGACGAGGGGAAGGCGGTAGCCAAAACGTCGTTGCAGGCCTCACTTGACTCTGCCGACGCAGCTGCTAGAACAATTGCGTCGGGCGTAGTGATGAGACGTTCTGCATGGCTGCAATCCTCGGGCCTTCCCCCGGAGGTGCAAAATACCCTCCAAGACTTGCCGTTTGAGGGTACGGGTCTTTTCTCAGAGCAGACTGACGCCAGGCTACACAGCCTCAAGGACTCTCGGGCTACCCTTAAGTCCTTGGGGATGCACACCCCTGTGACACAGAGGAAGCCGTTCAAGCCCCAACCTCCTCAAAGGCAGTATCATCCTCGCCCTCGTCAGGAACCATACCGTAGACGGGGCAGGGACAATAGACGTAGGCGCAACAATACGCCTAGCCAAGGCCAAAACCAGGGCCAAAACAAGACGCAGCCGGGAAATAAACAAGGATTTTGAAGCTGCGATCGAGGACAGCGTACCCATCCCTTCTCCGGATCCACCCCTAGGTTTCAGGGACCGCCTGTCCCATTTTTCCCGTGCCTGGTCTCATATAACATCAGACCGCTGGGTCCTGCGCACGGTGGAATCAGGTTACACCCTACAGTTCTCCTCGACCCCTCCCTCCCACCCACCGCCCCCGTCCCTCTTCAGGGACCCCTCTCACGAGCAACTCCTCATACAGGAGGTACAAACCCTCCTCGAGGCGGGGGCGGTGGAGGAGGTTCCTCTGGACTTCAGAGGAAGAGGGTTCTATTCCAGATACTTCCTCATCCCCAAAGCCAAAGGGGGCCTCCGTCCTATCCTGGATCTCCGCAAGCTGAACCAGTACTTGCAGAAGCCACGGTTCCGTATGGTCTCCCTTGGTACCATCATCCCTTCCCTGGATCCGGGGGATTGGTACGCTGCCCTCGATATGAAAGACGCTTATTTTCACATTGCCATTCGCCGAGCTCATCGGCGTTTCCTACGCTTCACGGTCCAACAGCGCCATTTCCAGTTCACGGTCTTGCCCTTCGGCCTTGCAACAGCCCCGCGTGTCTTCACGAAATGCATGTCGGTGGTAGCCGCCTTTCTTCGAAAAAGACGGATGCGCGTCTACCCGTACCTGGACGATTGGCTCCTGGCGGGCCGGTCGGAGGCAGAGGTCCGCGGCCATGTGACGCTGGCATTGCAAGTATTCCGCGAACTCGGGCTGTTGGTCAATGTGCCCAAGTCATCGCTAATCCCCACACAGAGGCTGGATTTCATAGGGGCAACCCTGGACTCGGTAGAGGCACGGGCAAGTCTTCCCGTATCCCGATTCCTGGCTATCAAGGAGGCCGTGACCTCCGTTCAACGATTCCCGACGACCACAGCCAGATGTTGCCTGCAACTCCTGGGTCACATGGCGGCGTGCACGCACGTAGTCGGGCTCGCCCGTCTCCGGCTCCGACCGCTGCAGCTATGGTTGGCTCAGACATATCGCCCCAACAGAGACCCCTTGGACATGGTCGTCACAGTCCCGGCTCGGGTATCGGATGCCCTCAGTTGGTGGCTCAACCAGCAGCAGGTTTGCGCAGGGGTCCCATTCACCGCCCCACAACCAACTCTGACGCTAGTGACAGACGCGTCGGACCTGGGTTGGGGTGCGCACCTAGGGGACCAGCGCACTCAGGGTTTGTGGTCCAGGGAGGAGCGGCTGCTCCACATCAACCTAAAGGAGCTGAGAGCGGTTCGCCTCGCCTGCCAGACCTTTCACGCCACCATAAAAGGACACAGCGTGTCAGTTCTGACAGACAACACTACCGCGATGTTTTACATAAACAAGCAGGGCGGGTCCCGGTCCTCTCCCCTCTGCCGCGAGGCTCTCCTCCTCTGGGACTTCTGCATAGCCCATTCAGTACAACTTCAGGCGGCGTATCTTCCCGGGGTACAGAACGGGCTGGCGGACCGTCTCAGTCGGTCCTACCTCAGGCACGAGTGGCGGCTGAGACGGGACGTCCTCCGGTCCATTTTCCTGAGGTGGGGGTTTCCCCAGGTAGATTTATTTGCCAGCAAAGACAACAGTCAGTGCCCGCAATTCTGCTCGTTTCAGGGTCACAGCCCAGGCTCAGTGGCAGACGCCTTTGCTATCCCATGGGGCGGGAGCCTGAAGTACGCCTTTCCCCCGTTCCCACTCATTCACAAGGTCCTCCTGAAGGTCCGCAGGGACAGGGCGACGGTTATCCTAGTCGCCCCGGCGTAGCCACGCCAACACTGGTTCACAACTCTGGTGGAACTCTCCGTGACCTCTCCGGTGGCCCTTCCCCTACATCACGACCTCATCACTCAGGATCGAGGTCGCCTACTCCACCCGAACCTGTCAGCGCTACATCTCACGGCATGGCTACTCTCTGGCTAAGTGGGGTGGAGCACAGGTGTTCCCACGAGGTTCAGCAAATCCTACTTGGTAGTAGGAAACCCTCCACGAGGGCAGCCTACCTGGCTAAGTGGAAGCGCTTCTCCTTGTGGTGTGCGCCTCACCACTCGCAGCCTTTACAGGC